TGTAATTTTTTGCCCAACTTTGTAATGCTATAAGTGCCGCTCCGGTATTTTTTTTTACTTGAAATTTTTACCATACATAGATAATTAAAATATCTTTCAAATAATATCTTCCAAAATTTGGTAACTTGTTTGGTTCATACGTGGTCGTCCCAAGAAGTAGGTCATTTTTTGCATTTGACCAAAATTGTGGATGTAAGCCATCTTCAAAGGACTCTACATGACAAAGTAAAATAGAATTCTAACTCAACTTCTTTTCAAATGTAGATCTATGAATTACTTATCAAATAATTGCTTGTAGAGTTTCGGGTCATAATGTTTAGTCGCGTGGTTGTCCCTGAAAGTAGGCCATTTTTTGCACTAGGCAGAATTTTGGAATTTTAGCCATGTTCAAAGTACTATACTGGACAAAGTGAATTAGAACGTTAACTCAACTTCTGGTCAAATGTAGGTCTATGTATTGTCTATCAAATGAATGCTTGTGGAATTTTGGGTCTAATGTTTAGTCACGTGGCTGTCCATGAAAGTGGGCCACTTTTTTTGCATTTGCCAAAAAAATGAAATTTTAGCCATCTTCAAAGTACTCTACGGGACAAAGTGTAATCAAAATGATGCCTGGCATGTACTTCTGAATAACCTGGATAATACAAGTGTGCTTCTGGTAATGGACTGGGCCATGAAGTTCCTGCCAAGGAGGTACAGGGAGAGCCGAACAGACTGGTTTAGAAAGCGGGGCATACCATGGCACATCACGGTAGCATACCAGCAAAGGATCTATCCAAGTCCTTATACCTTCGAAGTGACTATGCTGGGTGTTATCACAACACACTCATACTTCAAGCAGCTAGGCATATCAACGAAACAGCACGAGTCACCATCAGACGGCTGGACTATTGCGACCCACAAGGGGGGAAAGGGTCATGTGACAGACAGGCCACAACAGTGAAGTCCCACATAAGACCTGGATCAATGAGGGCCACAATGTTGAGACGGCCGAGGAGTTTATGATTGCCATTGAGTCTTGTGGTAGAATCCCGGGAGTAAAGTCTTTCTGTGTGAAGTGGTTGCAGATGTTGCATCGACATCCATGAAACTGGATGGAATCACCAAACTCTTTGAGTTTAGTGATGCAGGTCTACGTGTCTGGCGAGCATACAACATCGGGGAAGGGAATATTGTCCCTTGGCTGCGATTGCCTGCCATAGAACCACCGCTGCTGAAGATTGTCAGTCAGCCGTCAAATCCTGGTTCTGCATTTCGACCCATCAGGTCAAGGCAGATGAAGGTGCAAGCTTAACAAGAAATCAGATTCTGATGAAGATGCGGCACGTCATGAGACTGTGCAACCCACTCAGTGGTAGCCTTTTCCCTTGTCCAGAAGAGAGCTGCGTCAAGATTTATCAAACATGCAAAGGTCTGGAGGCTCATGTAGCTGTCGGAAAGCACAAACGTCGGCTTGGAAGAGAGACTTTGCTGGACAAGACAAAGTTGAAGTACGCAGAAAAGCTTGCACAGGGCCTGTCAGAAGAACAACACCTTTGCCACGGCAAGGATGGGCACTGCGCAGTCCGAAGAAGACTGTCAGGTTTAGCCACAAGCAAAAAAAGGACCTTGATAAGCGGTTTCGGCTTGGACAAGCTACTGTGTCCAAAAAGATGAGGCATGCGTGTGATGCACAAGGCCAATGGCTATTCCAGGTGCAGGACTTTTTGACTGGCCAGCAAGTCTCTAGCTATTTCTCCCGACTGGCAGCTAAATGCCGTAAAGCTTCAGAAGACGACGACGACGACGACGAGGAGGAGCAACAGGACCCTGCTGTAATCGAATCCTCTAACAGTCGCATACAGGAGGAAATCATCACCAACGCCGAACTATGTCACCCTGTCCTGTACGATACATTCAACCTTTGTGACTTGGCAAAGAGGGGAGGCCTGTATGAGATTGGCATAGTACTATTAAGGTCCATTTGCGAGCACTTTGATGTCGACGTATCCTCCATCACTGACCGTCGGCGCAAGTCGGCATTTGTTGCAAAACTTCAAGAGTACTCGAGTTTCTGCCTGGTTTGTGTAAAACTAGAGTGTACTAAGACGTAGAGGTTTGTGTGTTCTTATGTAGGCTTAGTTAGATAAATGCTGTTAGGATGTTCCGTTACTTTGGAGAAGATGCATCTTGAACAGTTTGTTTCTTTTAACATTGTCAATGTCCAATGTATATTATGTTAGTACTACAATGACTGATAATGCACTTACAGTGTTAACTTGAAGTTTAGTTAAGCGCCGTGTAAATATCAATTTGTAATAAAGAAACTAAGATATTGTTTTAAATTCAGCTATGTTCTATAATGCATATCAAAAAGAACACTAACACAGGAACAAAAGTTCCTAACATTCAGGTGATACACAATTTCTAAATATGGCATATGTTCAGAAACCTTCCGGGACTAAACGTCACTCCCTAAAACTCTACGAGCATTTACTTGATAGGCAACACATAGATGACTGGCTTAAGAAGAAGTTGAGTTAGTCCTGATTTGTCAGGTACAGTAGCATACTTTGAACATAGCTAAAATTCACAATTTTCGTTGAGCACAAAAAGTGACCTGCTTTCAGGGACAACCATGTGATTAAATGTCATGACCCGAAGCTCTACAAGCATTTATTCAGTAAAAAATACAAAGATGTACATTTGATCAGAAGTTGAATCAGAATTCTTCTTCATTTCTTCACGTAGCATACTTTGAAAATTCACAATGCAAAAAGTGGCCTACTTTCAGGGACAACCACGTGACTGAACGTCATGACCCGAAACTCTACAAGCATTCATTTGATAGACAATAGATAGATGTACATTTGACCAAAAGTTGAATTAGAATTATTGTTCACTTCGTCACGGAGTGTACGCTAACAAAGCTAAAATTCACAATTCTTGTCAAATTCAAAAAATGGCCTACTTTCAGGGACAACCACGTGACTGAATGTCATGACTCGAAACTCTACAAGCATTTATTTGATAGAGACAATACATAGATTCACCTTTGATAATAAGTTGAATTAGAAATATATTTTACTTCGTCATGTAGCGTACTTTGAACATGGCTAAAGTTCAAAATTTTCGCAACACATAAAAAGTGGCCTAATTTAAGGGACAGTCACGTGACAACCAAACAAGGTACCAAATTTTGCAAAAATGCTTTTGATAGATGTTCCAATTATCTATATATGGTACAAGTTTCAAGCCAAAAAAAATACCAGAGCGGCACTTATAGTGTTACAAATTTGGGCCAAATATCTAATTGTTTTCAGGCTGCCCAAGAACTAAAATGTTTGTCTTTGGAAATTGCACAACAATTTTGAAAAAGCCAAAATGTTGGTCTATTCAGATCTTGTTTTGTTTTTATGGTAGGTTTGAAGTTGTTGCCGAGACAGTGCCGTAAAATATGCTGATTTCCGTGTTTTTGACATGCGAAAATTGGGGAAAATGGCCAGAAAACTTTGTTTGCCAGTTACCATGGCAACAAGGAGTTTTGATCTAAAAGAAAGCTATTTTGAGGGGTTGTGGACCAATTTAAGTACTATCACTGTGCAAAATATGAGCCAAATCTATTTTTTGACCCCTGCCACCATTGTTTGATTCTTACAGACATTTGCTCTTAATTAAAACACTTTGAATTTATACTTTGCATGATTATATTTGGTCAACGCGAAACATTATTTTTTCTAAATATTTTCTGAGACTATTTTTATCAACGCAGGGTTATTTTTCCAGACAATATGGACTTCGTAAAATCTGCCAAAACATCGCCCGGGCGATCTTTTGGTCCACACACATTTTTCTAAAAAAAATCAAATTTTCCAGGGCAAGGTATCAGCCGAATCTGGTAATATTAATATTCTCTGTATAATTTGTCATACATTAAGCACTGAAAGTAGGACCCTATTATTAGGTGATTATGATTAGATCCCAATTGCTTTAAAGATTCCTCTATAGGAAAACTACTGCCAACCACTTAATTTTTGCTGCTAGAAATTTTTGCCATTTTTGATGATTTTTATGGTATCATAAAGGCAAAATTTTGTTAGAGTCGCTGACAAGTTGTCTTGTACCGGGTATATGTATGGTCCCAGAGAAATGTTAACTGTTACAAAATTCTATGGTTTTTATGGAAAATTTGTCAAAAGCTGTTATAAATGCAGCTCAAAATTAACCATATATGCTGCAATACTCTGTAATGTACTTAACTGTTTGTCAAGAACAGATGGACAAACTGAATTCAATTATTAACAGACCACATACAGGCAAATTACAAATGAATAGTCAAGCTAGCTTTTCTTGTATTTCATACTTATTATTTTTTATCCTTTGAAGTAATTAAAATAAATTGTCAAAGTAATTATTTTCTTGTTTATTTCTCTGTAGTATAAAGCCACTGACTTTGTAGTACCAGGCAGCGGAAAACTTGAGCTGAAGTTTACCCCCGATAATGGCGGTAATGTCATGAACTTTACTGTGTTTGATTTCAAAAACAGTGGGGGTGTGGCACTAGGAATGTACAATACAGATGCTTCAATCCAAGATTTTGCCCACAGTTGTTTCAACTATTCCTTGGATAGAGGTTATCCACTTTATCTTAGGTATGTTACGAATATGTGTGCACAGATTCAATTTGCATGACTCTGTTTGTTGGTGGCTATTGGTAACATAAATAGCTATAGATTACTGTGAAATTGACTACAAAATTTGTCACCTTTGCTTGAAACATTTCTTGTGGATTTTACTAGAAGAGGAATTAGCAACCTTATAAAATTTTTAATTATTTTCACATTGGTTGGTTTAGTATACTGTAAATTTTGTGATTTTGTGTTTTTTTCTGGAGTCAATGACAGTCAGTAACTTTCGTGAAATGGTTGTCTTTGCAAATGCCATACAATCGTGAAATAACAAAATTAAATAGATTACAGTATCCATTCTTTTCTGGCACATGTAGCTGTGAAAGGAGTGTGTAAGACTATCACTCATCTTAATTTCTTACTCTGTACATTTCATTTTTACAGTACTAAGAATACCATATTGAAGAAGTATGACGGTAGATTCAAAGATATTTTCCAAGAAATATATGATAAGTAAGTTGTGTATGTATGTATACTGTGACATTGTTATCACATTATGTGCATGTATTATTGACACTTGTGAAATATCAGCATTCCTAGTACAAGGCATAACATGATATGACCATTGCACTGAATTGTGTTGTATTTCAGTAGCATATTTGCACCGAGCACAAACTGTTGCACTTAATTTTACTCAAATCATATGTATGCATGTTGAGGAAGATTGAGGGTTTGATCTCCTAAGCAATCAAATGTGTGATCAAATCCACAAATGAAAATTTCGGATTCCAATTAATTTTCAGGCAGTACAAATCTAAGTATGAAGCCAAGAATTTATGGTATGAGCACAGACTTATAGATGACATGGTGGCGTATGCAATGAAATCGGAAGGTGGCTTTGTATGGGCTTGTAAGAATTATGATGGCGATGTTCAGTCAGACTCTGTAGCACAAGGTATTGCAAACACTGGTTTCTGTTGTGATAATATTTAATAGTCTTGATATTTTATAAATATGTTTCAGTTAAGTATCCATAGATGTTACTATGAATGATCAGTTCTAAAGCGGCATTCAGATGGTGCTTAAAACAAATTTTCACAGATTTGTTGAGACAGGTGTCGTTTCACCAACTTTATTCGGGCATAGTGTTTACATTATATCAGCCCCAAAACATTTGTGGCAGTTTTTTTTTTGTCCAAAACTTCTGCTGCAAACATTTCTTTCTTTTATAACTCAACGTCGAAATTCTGATCTTTGCACATTATTAAGCATTGGAAATACCCCCAAAATACTTCGCTGTTTGTCAATCCCACACAATGTTTTGACACCATTACAGGGCTTTGTTTTCCCTGTTTTTATTTTTATGTTAATGCAGGATCTCACAGTGAACTGAAAATATTTATTGATAACATATTACATGTACTTTTAAGGGAATCCTTTTTAACCAGAAGAATTTACATCGCGTGTCGTCATTCTGTCAATTCATTGGTTGAACTGTAACATGGCGGGTTTATCTATTCAATAGGGTATGGTTCATTAGGTATGATGACCAGTGTATTGATATGTCCCGATGGTAAGACGGTTGAAGCTGAAGCCGCACATGGTACAGTAACAAGACATTATAGATTCCATCAACAAGGCAAAGAAACATCAACCAATTCTATCGGTAAGTAACCAAAATGCAAATTCTGTTAATATTTGTGCCTGGTTTATTTTCAATTTGCCCAACTTCTTCTCAAAAACTGCCGAACCGTTTGACTCGATTTTTGGTGTGTGGATGCCTTGATTTTCAAATTCCTAATTTTGGCGAATATTTTAAAATGGTCATTTTTGGTCAAAAAATCTATTTTCAACTTCTTCAAAACCGATAGCCTGAATGCTTTGATACTTGGTGTGTATGTACCTTGTGTTGACATCTACTAGATTTGTTCATCCCATGGCCATATCTTTAATTCTCTAATTTTGGCAAATATTTTTGTCATTTTTAGATAAAAATGGATTTGGTGTTAGGCCTACATGTGTTTATTATTCCATTGACAACCTTGTGTGGTTGTTTGGCGATATTTCATTTAAAAGTACAAATTTAAACGAAAAGTTGTGGCATTCTCGCCCGCCAGAGTTTTATTTCCGCCTCGAGCGTTCCGCCACGATAAAAAAAATGTTAACAATGCATGTGACGTCACTAAGCCCCAACGTTCGGTCTGGCAAAATCAGCTTGTGGTGTCAGTGTGTTTTCTATGAGTCACACGCGAGTATTTTATTTTGACCGCCAATTTGAACGTTTTCCATGGTAACATCACGTGATTGCATACCAAGAATATAGTGGAAATTTATGCAAATTATCTAATTTGCATATCAGCTAGTGAAATTCAGGCTATTTGGGTGCTATTTCAAGAACCATTCAACATATTTCAACAAAACTTGGTATATACATGTATTACGAATTCAGATAATTGCAAATATCATGTTATGTTATTCTCTCAACTCGCTAGAGTTCTTTTTAAGTTCTCTTTGATTCTAATTTTATTGAATATTTCTGTTATTTTTGTAAAAAAATTCCACTTTTAGCATTGTTTTATTGTCTCACTCACTGCCTTTTGGGGTATTTGTCATATACAGCACTAATCTTTTGTACAATAGCCGTTGAGCAACAGGCCATTGGCCTATTTTTTATGTAACTAATTGGTCAAAACTTTTGGTCAAATTGTCATAATAAATTGCCATTAACCTTTTCACCACCAGACTTTCTCACCCAAATTTGTCTGCACTTTTTTTTTGTATTCAATATTAATGAAAATGAACCCTAATTTTTGAGCCAACAGACAAAATTTTCAGTTTTTACTCATAAAATTTGGCCATTTTTTTCCAATCTCCTGAAGGAAAGTGCAGACTATAAACGAGTCTATTTTGTAATGAAAATAGGAAACTGGTGGTGAAAAGATTAATCTCATCTCTGACTGCAGCAAACTCAAAAAAAGATTAACTCATTTACATCAACCCTATAATCACCATTTTTGTTTTCATTTCAGCATCGATATTTGCATGGACACGAGGTTTGGCACATAGAGCTAAGTTGGACAAGAATGATGCTTTAGCTAGATTCTGTAGAAATTTAGAAGCTGTCTGTATTGAAACTATAGAAGCTGGTTACATGACCAAAGATTTAGCAATCTGTGTGAAAGGATCAATGGATAAGTACGCAACTTTTTTTTCTATCTATTTATATATTTGAATGTATTTGGTTTTGTGGTTATACATAACAAATCAGACACACACATAGAATATGTAGACAGGTAAACATGACAAAAGTACTGATTTCATTTTGTACACAGTATAATAGACCTTGTATAAATGTCTATATGTAATCTTGAGTAAACTGCCAGAATGTATATCCTGTATACTGTGCATGCATTAATATCCTACTCACTGGGTTTTATTTTCAATATTTTCGTTGATTGAAGTACAATTCACTGAATTAAATACATGTGAACTTGTCAAATAACAATAGAACTCTTTCTTTATCTGCCACATTTGAAACTTAAGGTAGCGAGACTATTATTTGTGTTGAAAATTACGATTTTCACATTTATTTATTAATTGATGAAATGCACTATAAACTTTCATGTGATAAAGTCAACATAACATAGAATGTCATGTAAGTTGGTTAAAATGTAGATTTTCTGAAGGGAAGCAAGGCAGCCTCAGTAGTGTTTTCCAAAATCAACAACACAGGTTTAATCTGTGTGCCTATAAGTTTCAAAGATAAACTCAAGACAAAGCATTGTTAGGATGTGTTATCAGTAGCTATCTGACACACAATTAGTGTTTCCAAACATTTGAGTGGTTTGTCTCCGCCCCTATTTGTTTCACAGATTAGTCATTTGCATATGAATGTGTCAGACACAAGGTCACACAGCCACTGAAAAAAATCATTGATTTTGGTGTTTTAATATGCCGAATTTATCCAATTATAGCTATCCCATTCCTTTATTTTTTTGGTTTGAAAATCTTTGCTGTTACTTCATGGACGTTTTCTAGGAGTTTATGTTTTTCAAAATACAAGGTCTTTAACAAAAAATAACGTATACTTATTATCGTCGGATTAACACCAAATTTTCACAGCTTTAAGGTGACAGTGAGAGGAACTTGAATGTGTCCAGACAAACTATTTCATCGATTATTTACCAACGAGTCGTGGTTTGAGTTGGAGGCAATGCGACTAAAACAGTAATTGAAATTCAGCACACTATTTTTTAAAACGCGTTGCTTGAATAAAACTGACCAGACACATTCAATTTACCAGACTATTGAACAACTAGGAAAAGTGAAAAAAATACTTCTTATCGCCAGCATAAATGCGTAATTATTTTTTTTACAGAAAAAGTAATTTTTCACCTTTGGTTGAGTAACGCGTCGTAGAATGCAGATACGGGCATGCAAAATACACTTGTGAAAAGCTTGAAGTCTGGCGATTCTAAAAATATATACTGTAAAATACTTTATTTTCGCTTGGAATTTATTTTCGCTATTTTCGCTGAAGGGATGATTCCGTGAAAATAAAATCCAGTGAATATACTTTTTTTCCTATATTTCACATTAAACTCATCAAAAATCAGTGAAAATAAATTCCATACAAAATGCCCAAAAAGTCTTTTCAGCGAAAATTAATTCCAGCGAAAATAAAGTATTCCACAGTACTTTCCCGGGTCTATTTGTAGTCATTTAGTCACAATTAGAAGATGAAAACAAGTATGCAAATAATAGTCCCGCTACCTTAAAACCAGATAAAATTGGTTGAAACTATCAAAATTAAATGTCTCTGTTTTGTCATGAGGTGATTAGATAATTGCAACTCGATAGAACCAAGAAGAATTACATACTTAAAACATAGAGGACTACACGTTCATTTGTAAATTCATTTATAATACGGATAATAATTGTTTGTCATTTTCATACATCATAATTTCAGAACCTTTTATGGACGTAATTTTTACAGACTTTAAATCCCATCCCAGACAGGTTTTGATTTTGTCTTTTTGTTATATCCCTAATTCTACTGAATTGCAAGTGGTTTAACTGATGTATTTTTTCGTTACAGAGTTGACCGCTCGGATTACTTAAACACCTTTGAATTCATTGATAAACTGGCAAGGAATCTGAAGAACAAGATGAGCAAACTCTGATGGGAATGACTTCACCGCAATTAAATCAAGACTGACACTGTATAATATGGCTATCATATAAGGGGAGGGGTAGATATGACAAGCACTTTTAATTAAATGTGAGATATGTATGCGTAATATATAGGCATAATGTATGTAATGATAAATACTAATATATGCAATAGATTTTGCTGTACGGGTAATAGATTATGCAATCACGTGGCAGTGTTTGTGCTCAAGACTTTGGGGGTGGGGGTATGAAAAATGATATGGACTTTCAAATTTCTTGTATTCCCGATTGGTTTGATTTGATGTAGCATTCTGGGAAGACTCTTTTTCATGGAGCATACTCGATGACATAAAATTCTTGATGAGTTAATTTATGATAGCGAATGTTTTAGCTTCGTACTATGGTTTTGTAGTTGCTCTATTATTAGTGCATTAAACTTAAATCAAGTAATATATTAATATTTCAGTATACTATGCATTTCTAATAGAACAAATACGGTAGTATGTCTATTGCCTCAGAGCTGCATAGTACATGTATTTAGTAGTCTATACAAGATTTATTTTCCAACCAATGTATTGAATTTGAGGGAAAACTAATATATGAAACTAATATTTAACATATGAATGAGTATCGGTACATCTATTTATTAAGTTGAATGTAGATTACTTACATATCTCGCCTTGCATTCTTTTAATACTTCACTCACACACAAACCTTGAATACACTAATTCACTTTATACAAAAAAACAATTCAGGTTTCAGGACATGGCTTCGGATATTTTGATTACATTATTGTGAATATTTCAGAATTATTACAGAAAAAAAAAATATTTATCTTGAGTGAATTAGTGATATTCATCTTACAAATATCTGTATTTCATTACTGGAAATGGAATTTATTTTCGTTACTGATTTATGATTTATTGTACAATATTCAAAAATAATTTTGGCGATTTTATGTCTAATAGACATCTTAAGGACAATAATGGTGGTAATTGTTGGACTTTGGAATATGGTCAATGTCACTATGACTGAAGAACACCAAATGTTTTCATTTTTGTGAATTCCCACGAGTTTCACAAATTTGTCACTGGTGTGATGTATTGTCTTATAAAAAAGTCTGTCATTGTACAGCATGTATTGGTATATAAAGATGGCACCCATATTAAATACTTTACGACTGTGGTCCTTTAACTTTTAAATGTCATTATTGCTGCTGCTTGGAAGTGGGTTAGTGCCTCAAACTATGCAGACTGATATTAATTGAAGTATTAGTGCATTATTTACATAGATCAATGATCAAAAGGCTTTGGCATGTACAGCTGATGACCTCCTATTGATAATGAATGTCTAGTGGGCCTGATCAAGATCACGCTAACGTACACAAAACGTAATTTGGCATTTATTCAAAATCGCTAGGTCAGGACTTGCACTGTTGATTTCTCAGACCGGATTGTGCAAAATGGGGTGTGATTGGGTGGCCATCCAATGTTTGTTTATAAGATAACAATGTTTTTGCTTCTGTTGGTGTCTGCTTATAGGTCAATTCAGATACCAGCAAGATAAATTTGATTTAACAAGACAAAATGTCTGATAGTACACATTACATTGTTTTATGGTATTGTCAAATTAATTGAAATGTGTCACTTCCGTCAAATCTCAGTATTCTGTAGCCTGTCGTGTAGCCCCCTGGCTCCGACTGTTAGATTCACTCACGCACAAGCTTATGTTAAGGTGTACCAACCATGTCAAGATAATTCTGCTAATCACATGGTCAGATTTTGTCCTGTC